TAAAGGCCGTTTTTATGGACGATTATGAAGAATCAGAAGCCAAGGGTGCATGGAGTGTACGTTCCCAACCCCCCATTTAAGGACCATGTGACTTGGCCCCTTGTCGGTTCATCCTCTAACTTAAAGACAGAAAACTACTGATCGCGTATTGCGTGTGAAACTCACATCCATTTCAGATGAAAACATATTCGTTACCCTCTGTGCCAAGATTACAGCTACTTACCCTAGATCGCTACCCGAATTGACTTTGGAAGATTGCAGCAGCTTGCGAAAATCTACTTGGGATAAGCTCTATGGCCTACTGAAACGCCGGCCTCAGGAGCTGGTTGGAGAAGTTATGATGTACGACATAGCGACCGCCATCCAAGAGATACTTGAGGATGAGATTACAGTCCGTCAAACCGATGGAGCTTACGAAAACCTGGATGCTGAACGAGCCATGCAAGAAGCGGCTGCGGCCGAGCAGTTGCGACAGCATGAGGCTGAGCAACAGAGGAAGAGGGACGAGGAGAAAGCGCAAGAGGAACGGCTTCTGCAGCAAATGGTTGGTGATGAGATGCGAAGGAAGGATCTGATGGCGAAGCGCAAGAAGAACCGCGCCTCAGTTATGACCCCACCGCCAGACTTTCCCAACGGAGACGGCGCCAACTACATTTCGTTTGACAGAACCACCTCCATCCAGCACGAGGATACTACAATTCAGTGCACCGCAGTTGAGAATCCGCTCCCTTTCCGTTCTGGGCCCCTTACCGAACAACTATTGGTCAAGCCTATGGGTACTCCCGTAGCACTCACGCTAGTATTGAAGCGTGCTCGAGTCGGCGGTGGAAACGCTGCTGCTGACCCTGGGCTGAAGAAGGCTATCATGGCATTTGAGGACGAGATGGAGGAGATTAAGCGGTTGCGACAATCTGCTATACTGACAGTGCTGGACTTCAAAGTGGAGAACATGCCAGACGCTGGGTGGGAAATCAGCATTCTGATGGAACATGCCGATAGAGGTTCTCTGGGCGAGAGACTCGCTGATGATGGGCCGCTCCAAGTCGCAAGAGTCCGTTCCTGGACCATCGAGATATTGGAAGCACTGGACTTTTACCATCGAAATGGCGTAGTGCACAAACGCCTTCACCCCAACAACATCCTGCTCAAGAGGTCTTCAGGTGGCGGAATGAGCGTACACCTGACTGATGCCAGCTTTCAAGACTCTTTGTATCGTTTACAAAGCTTCTCCAAGGACAGACGGACGACAAAGCCCCCACGGACATTCTACTGGATAGCTCCCGAGTTGTCCCAGGATTTGCAACACACTCGTAAGACAGATGTATGGGATATGGGAGTTGTGTTCCTCCAAATGCTATTTGGCCTCGACGTACCAGAGAAATACAATTCTCCAAAGGACCTGTCCGATATCCTTGGTTGCTCCGAGTCATTGCAGGAGATACTACGCAAATTCTTCAAGCCGGATCCCAAGAAACGACACTCTGCTTTTGACCTCATCCCCTCCGAGTTTCTTCGCGACGACGTCGATGTCTATGACCGACCACGCACTCCAGTAAGATCTAGGAATTCGTCAACCTCACTGGGTCGATACAGGCTACGGCGTGAGTCTTCCTCTGGGATGGTTCCAACATACTCGCGATATTCCAATGACTGGGTAGAGCAAGGCCGGCTCGGGAAAGGTGGATATGGCGAGGTTGTGAAAGCACGTAACAAGGTTGATGGCCGCACTTACGCCATCAAGAAGATCAAGCAAAAATCCGCTGCTGCATTAAGCGAGGTTCTCTCCGAGGTCATGCTTCTATCTCGGCTCAATCACAGTTGCGTAGTGCGTTATTACACAGCGTGGCCTGAAGCTGAAGCGGACTATGACGACGACTACTCTGGATCATCAGATGGCGACGATTCTGATTGGGGTTCAGACGTTTCCCCAACCACGACCACGACCACGACTGATGGCGGAATTCATGGAAAGAGCGGTGGCGGGTTAGATTTCATCAGCTCCAGCGGTTATCCCAAGATTGAATTTGGATCTGATGCAGAGTCGGATGAAGATGTCGGTGCTGTCATCTTCGGATCAGACTCAGGTCAGTATAAGATTTCTGGCACTTTTCCCCTAGTACTGTACTAACTCACCATAGAGGACGAGGGTTCCGCTAGCATCGGCCACAGTCCACCGGGAATTAAAAGACGCACACTATCCGACTCCAACCTTTCAAAATCAAGATCAATTCTCTACATCCAGATGGAATTCTGTGAGAAGCGGACGCTTCGTGATCTCATTCGTGGAGGATTGTACGACGACCCAGAAGAATACTGGAGGCTGTTTAGGCAGATTCTCGAAGGCCTTGCTCACATACACGGACATGGCATCATCCATAGGGATCTCAAACCGGACAATGTCTTTATTGACTTGGCTAAAATCCCCAAAATCGGCGATTTTGGATTGGCCACCAGCGGACAATACCAGAGACCAGACGCAAAATCCTCCGGCGATAGCCATAATGGCGGTGACATGACACGAAGTGTGGGCACAGCGCTTTACGTAGCCCCGGAGCTAAGCTCCAGTGTTACTGGCGACTACAACAACAAGGTGGACATGTACTCCATGGGCATCATCTTCTTTGAGATGTGTTTTCCTCTTAGGACGGCTATGGAGAGAGACAAGGTCATTCGTTCATTACGCGAACGAAAACATGAACTTCCCCCAGAGTTCGAGGCTCCTGAGAAAGCACTCCAAGGAAGCATAATCAAGTCTCTTATCAGCCACCGACCGTCGGAAAGACCCAGCTGTACTGAGCTCTTGAGGAGTGGTAAAGTACCGGCTCAGATGGAAGATGAGGCTGTTAAGGAAGCCATCAAGGCTCTTTCCGATCGCAACTCGCCTCACTATGCGAAGATGATGGCTGCCCTCTTCTCGCACAAACCTGACACACAAGCAAGAGATTATGCCTGGGACCTCGGCACAGCTAACCAGACAATCAAGGCGAATGAGGTGCTTCTACAGAATCTCGTCAAGGATAGATTAGCTATGATCTTTCGAGGCCATGGCGCGGTGGAGATCCAACGCCAAGTTCTGTTGCCATGGTCTGATCACTATGCGAACAGCAGTGTTGTGAAGCTCTTCGATCCTTCTGGGACCCTTGTTCAGCTTCCTTACGATCTCACATTGCCGTATGCTCGCAGTATCGGTCGGGGAGGTGGCTTCCTGGAGAAGACATTTACAATCGGTCAGGTTTACCGTGAAAACTACACTGGAAGTGCTCCGCGTAGCAACGGTGAGGCAGACTTTGACATTGTCTCATATGACGCGATTGATCTTGCTCTCAAGGAATCAGAGGTTCTGAAGGTTGTCGATGAAATCATTGACGAGTTTCCTTCGTTCCGATCTACACAAATGTGTTTTCACCTTAATCATGCTGATCTCCTAGAAATTGTTATGGAGTTCTGCAGGATTCCTGCTCCCAAACGCACAGCAGTCAAGGCTGTTCTCAGCAAGCTCAATATACTGAAGAACAACTGGCACTCTATCCGCAATGAGTTGCGCTCTTCCGACATCGGTATTGCATCAACGTCGCTGGACGACCTGGCAAGATTTGATTGGCGCGACACACCCGAAAAAGCCTTTGCGAAGTTGCAGCGACTTTTCGAGGGAACAAAATACCTCGAACGAACACATTCGATATTCCGACATCTTTCCTCCGTAATCAACTACATGAAACACTGGAATGTGAAGCGTAAGGTCTATATCAATGTCCTCAGTAGCTTCAACGAGAGGTTTTATGCTGGGGGTATACTATTCCAATGCCTATTCGATACCAAGCAGCGAGAAGTGCTTGCTGCAGGCGGAAGATACGACAAGCTGATTGAAGAATATCGACCAACTGGCTCTAGTCATGCGCATCCGCTACCTGCATATCACGCAGTTGGCGTAAACCTAGGGTGGGACAGATTGGTCAACTCTATGGCTAGATACATCAAGAAGCCAGAAAAGTCAATGTTTTTGAAGAAGCAAGCCGACGATGACACTCCATCTCTTTCATGGATGCCTCGCCGCTGCGATTGCTTGGTCGCCAGTTTTGATCCAAGCATCCTCCGAACGACTGGAATCAAAATGGTATCAGAGCTCATATCTCATGGCTATACGGCCGAGCTCGCCATCGATGCGCATTCTATTGAGGACGTACTCCGCCACTATCGAGACGACAGGCACAGCTGGATTATTGTGATCAAACACGGCGTCGCGCCAGATAAACCGGAGCTCAAAGTGAAATCCATTGCCAAAAAGGAAGACACAGACATGCACAGTTCCAATCTCCTCAACTACCTGCGCAACGAACTCCGCGACCGAGAAGAGCGCGAAGGCACAGCAGCTCGTCAAACCAAAGTCCCGGCACCAGCTCCCAACAACAAGTCCAACACTGCAAAGGCCAACGTCGACGTCCTCATCGCCCAACACCGTTCAAAGAAGTCGAACAAGTGGTCAATTGTCGAAGCCGCGCAGTCCCGCTCCACAGAACTCCTTTCGGAATTTCAATCAGCACCTATCGCTGCCATTGAATCAAAGGAAGAGGTCATGAATCTCCTCAAGGAAACGCGACTCAGCGACCCGGATTCTTGGCGCTACTTCATCCAGAGGATGCCGCTGGCAGAGCGGAAATATCTCCAGGAACTACATGATTTGTTGTTAGGGTACAGGGCCAAGTGTGTAGAAAGTAAAGCGAATGGAGACGGCGAAGACGCTGTAGGCAAGGCGTTTGTGTATAATTTTCGCACTGGCGGTTGTTTGTTATATGATTTAGAGAGTTAAGCGAAAGAACCACGATAGATTATCAAGCGTGGTAGAGATTAATATACCCTCTCATTTTTCTACATATAACCCAGTGATTTTTTTTCTCAAGTCATTTGTGAACTCGTAGTAACGTAACTGGTCTACCAGCGCTTCTGTAACACCCAGGAAAAGAACCACCAAAAAACTTCACCCAAATATAATCCACAACCCCTTAGAAAAAATGCACACCGCCTTTCACCCCTTCCTCCTCCCCTACACCCAGCTTTTCCAATCCCCCTTTCAACCTCATCCCCATCGCCTTCCCATACGCCTCTGCATCATTCCTGTCAGGCATCTCCACCTTACCCGTTATATCCGTGCGTAGCCACGCCACTCCCTTCCCCCCTGGTGCTGCATCACATGCCTCTTTTATCTCCGCAAACATGGCGTCGTCGAAGCCGCCGCCGAGCACGACTGCCACGGGCCGATCGGGGCTGGTGGGGGAGAGGAGGGGGGGTATGTTTGTTTTTGCTTCTTCGAGGGAGAGGAAGGTGTGGGGGACTGTGGGAATTAGGGGGAATTGAGGTTAGTTTGGGATGTGTATGTACGTGATGTGGTGGATATGAGTGTTGCGGTTTGAGAGCTGGGTGTAGCAATGTGAATTGCTTTTTTTTGGCTCGGGCTTCTTTTAGAAGGAGGGAGGGGAAAAGAGTGACTTACCGTGGTATTTTGGTGTTACGCCTTCGCGTACTGTTTTTGCGATGTTGGGGTTTCGGCCGCACAGGATGAAGGGGATGGGTCGTGTTGCCATGGCGGTTTTGTTTCGTTGTGGATCTTAAAGGTCCTGTGAGAGGGGCGAGGGGTATGTTAAATAGTATGGCGGGGGCTCGTCGAGGTACAAATGCGGGGTATGGTTGTACTTGGTATCAGAAGAAATACAATGCTCAGCTTACGGTATGACATGGTGGTGGGCTTGCGTTATGCACATGTATACTGTAAGGCGTGTAAAGTCCGACGCTAGTGGCATTTAGCTCCGGTTTTCCGCTGTTGAGGGTGGTCAGGGTCAGCTGGATGTGAGATGTGGCTTTTTGATGACTGGTTGTGCTTGGGGGTGTGTGGTGTCTACCTGTCAGCTTGTTTGGGGGTCCAACCACTACTTTCACGGTTCATGTGACACATCTTTGCTCTGAAAGACTATGAGGTTGTATTGTAAACAAGTATATGACTAAAGCGCAAAACGTAGTGAAGCCTATACTACCCCAAAACCTATCAACATGGCGGGTAGCATCTCAGCCCAAGTATGGTGCATATGATCTCAAGGGGCCTTTGGTTTCTGGATTGGGTAGTAGTTGGTTCTCAAGTTCGAGCTGTTGACACCCTTGTAAATCCCCCGGGCAACGATTGTCTTCTCGGTGTCCACCGATTTCCATCTCGCCGTGAAGGGTAAACTACTCGTAAATTCAGTCATAGTTGCAGTGGCTCTGATAGCCGTGTGTGGAGGGACGGCCACTACCAGATTGGTTTGAATAATCTTAGAGTGACTGTTCATAGTGCCCCATGACAAGTTTTCATGGAGCTTTGTGCTCATCTCCACCGAAGTCTCTACGATAACAGGTACTCCGGCACTGAACTTAGTCAAAGTACCTAACTCTATCCCAGATTCAGTTTCAAAAGTGGACTGTTGTGTTGTAGTTACCGTAAACTGCAGGGATGGATTTTGTACCACCGAAGTGGTGTTTACCGTATCCTGTGAGAAAACGCTTGTAGGCGGGGTACTCCCCATGACACAATTCTCAAGCTCATACTTAATGTTGATCATTTCCATATCTTCTGGTTCAAAGGTGAAACATTGGTCGTCGAAGGTCCTAAGTTTATTTGAGACAGTCCCAAACTCGGGTTTTTCACTCGTCCGCGAGAAAACAACTCCATTTGTGCCGGGATTGTAAAGGCGAAATTGGTCTGCTCGAAGAAGTTTGCCATTCTGCCCTAAAAGGTCAAAATATTGAGATTCATTGTCGATTGCAGGTATAGCTCCAGCAACGCCATGCCCGCGTATGGAGTCGATATGCAGGAGATAAATAGCCAAATTGGTGTAGGCGGACACAATCGTGTACAGGCTCTCGTATTTGCCTTTACCCAGCTTGATGTACTAGTACTGATCAGGGCAAGGAGTCGAAATGTCGACATGGTCGAGTTGCACCTTATCTCGTGGGTTTGAATAGAGGACACGATTGCTTTTGATGTTGATGATGCGGACACGAAGATCTGGATCAGGGATAAAGTTTTTGGTAGAAAAGTTGTTGGGGTTATCGCTTGTAGATGGCTGCCTGTGAATAAGATGGGAAGGTTTGGTTGATGCCACCGACAAGATTCAACTGCAATATGTGGTCATAATTTCACCGACTTTGTTTTTGAAGTCTTTGATAGAAATTTACATGTCTCGACTGTACACTGGTTCTTGCATTTTCGGTATCAGGTAAGGTTTATGTTTTGCTTGTTTGGTCCAAAAATGATCAAGATTAACCGCATTTGAAAGAAGTAATATTCTTTTCGTGCAACGGCATGAGTGCCTTGAGGTGTAATTTTGTTGATCGGCCTCGAAATATTCGCCCTGGTCACACCCCACTTTGAAAGCTGAAATGGAGACGTAGCGTTTTTGAAGAGTTATTCACGGCAACATTTATTCCCTGGGATATGTAACGTATGTAATAGTTATAATGACCAACTGTAGTGGTAATCACCGAAGGGGGAGCTTCCAGTTGTCAATAGTACATCTCTGTCACGGGATTTTCTTTCCAAGAATGCACAAATAAAATACCAGTGAAGATGATCAGCCCAACTATAGTGCCAAGAGTGCCATGGTTACTCTGACCGATCAGCCCTTAAAAATCATTAGAAAAATCCTTGTCGCAGCCAGTAGGTGTATATTAATGCGAGTATTGGTGTATGTATGTGCTGCGCGTTCTGAACGATCCGTTCACCCACGAGCCGTGCCGCCTTCCGGCCCGCCTGTCTAACGTCGCCGCCGGCATCTAAGCCTCACACATATGAACTGTCAGACAAGCAAACGAAAAATATTGATTTTGTTGCGTGCGTTAAAGTATCTGGATGACAAGGGGATGACGCCCATGCAAAACAATCAAAAAAGAAACACTTGAGATCACACCGTTCGACACTGATACTGGAATGCGGTGAGCAAAATGCTCGCAGGAATTGCTTATTCCTCATCATTACTATAGTCTGTTCATATCTAGCTTGCATCTAGGGTAAGTATCCGTTTATTGTTTCTCGAAAAGAACATCACGCCATACTCAACCTATCAGTATCGGATAGCAAAAAATTCACTTCTCATTATGACAAGCTGAAAATGACAAAATCGCCATTATACCTTCGCTTAGCCTTGGTCAGAATTCAGATAACAACTATGTGTTAAAGAAGAAAATGGGTAGCTTGGCGCACACTGGCTTCTAAATATGAATTGCTTTTGTTATTGCACTTGATATTCGGAAACGCCGACTGACCGCCACAAACCGGCAGCAGATGCCTTGTCATCTGCAATCAGGTACAGGCAGTGAAATCAACCCGCCAGTGAGAGCTGCAAGCAGACACATCACTGCGTCGTATGGCGGACAAATGATCCAGTTCAATCACCTTTCTGCCCGCTCGTCTCCGTGACTATTCTATCTTGCACCTTGTTCAAGTGTGTCTGTAGGAAAGCTTACGTAACTACTGTAATTTAATCCGATTACAAAATACGTGTTATCAACCAGAGCTGCTCGGTACATCCTTATCGACATAGGTTAACTATCACTTTGAAGACAAAGATATAGATTGAAGTGTATGTTGTATTATCTGCAGAATTGTACACCAGCTGTATGATCTACTCCATAGCTTACAGAGTGATGAAGGATTCTATTATTCCCTCATGTATTCAGTGATCTGGATACTGTGCTAATGAAATACATACATACACACACACCACAACTCAGATGACAATAAAATCCATTCAACTCTGAGAAAAACATGCGTTTTCCTACTCAAGCATACCACTCTCCATCTCAGATTATAGAGAAAAGAAAGATTTCAAACTCTATCCCGTGCAGCTCTCCTGACTCGTCCTCCTCTTTTTCTTCCTCTGCGCATTAAAAAGGTTTTCGTAAAAGGGTATATCGCTTTCTCGCACGGAAGTCCAACTCCAATCCTTTTCAAAATAAAAAATAAAAACTTTTCCGATTCCCTTCTCTTTCATCCTTTCTCTCTCCCGCGTCTGAAAATCCAAATAAATCCCCTGGCCGCTAGTTCCTTGCACCCCCCGGGGCTCCACACCCATAACTCGCCATGTATGCAGCATTGACACTGCGATGGTGCTCACTAGCATGTCTCTTGACGCCCTCCCACATCTTCTTGATGCCCAGGTTGATCTTGTGCTGTGTCTTTTCTTCGTTCTCGCGCTGTTGCTGTAGAGTGACGAAGTGGTGGGCGTCGTGGGCTGAGTCGTGAGAGGCGCGGCGAGAGTGGGCGGCTGGGGTTGCGGGGATGGAGGAGGAGGGGGTGGAGTTTGTGGAACTCATTTTGTTTATGAAGTATGTGAAGTTTGAGTATGTATGGTTGATGAAGTTTGTGTTGCCCAATAACCTTTTCTGTAGGTAAATGTAGTTGAAAAGTAATATGTGTAGTGATAGGATGTAGACTTTGATACTGATGAATTTATCAGTGCTATTCTACGCTTGACACTCTCTCCACGCTCTTTATATAACACCAGAATCCCATTTAAAAAATCAAGGTTAAAAGATTTCTCCCGCAGCCCACACACAAACCCAAACGCCCAGATCGTGACACCACCACATGTGCACCACCCCCAAATTTTCCTTCTCACTCCCAACGCCTTGTAAAAAGGTGGGTCAGTTCCACTCCCCCAAGGAAACTCATACGCTTAGCATCACAAATCCATATTCCAGAACCAACCGTCAAAAAGGCACACCGCAAGACGTCACAATTAAGCTTCTCCACTCCCCGAGATGCCCTGACTAAACTCCCCTTCCGGCACCCATCATACCGCAAAGAGATCAACCCAGCACCACACACTCTCCCATACTAGTCTAGCTCCCACCGGCGAACCCAGTAATGTGGTAAGGAAACAACGAGCATTTCGGCTTGCATCGGCTCAGCCTCATCCGAACTTTTTCTTATATTATTATGACCGCAAGTAGTACCCACCAGGTAAAACTTGGTTGAGAGCTGGGTTTTGTGACACACGAGTTACCTCTAAAGCGTATTTCGTGTGTCATAGTCTGCCAAAAAAAAATTCGTGGTTGAATTGAACCTGATTTTTTGCCGTGCTGGGGCTATTCTTTTGCCGCTCAATAGGCAACGCTCGATGGAGGCTCAACAGAATTGGCCGATTTTGCCACGTGCGAGGGTTAATGGCGACATGGACACGTGGGATGGCGAGAGGAGTGGAGTAGAAGGGGCGAGAGTGTCGGTGTGCCATGGGGGTGAAACAGTGCCTGGACCGGCAAATATACATCAGCTGAGTGTAGAAGAAAAACGTTTATTGTGATATTGTCTCTATGATGAAAATATGGCGATAAACCACACCATCAGATATTCAAACTATGCTTGCCATGACGCCATTCTATGCAAATTAATGCGGAATTAAATGCTGGAGGAACATTCGTCAATGCTGTGCAGCAAACGACCTACTCTCCTTGCTTCTTCCACTTCCACTTCCACTTCCGCTGCCGCTTCCATATGTCACACTGCTATCGTCGTCGGAGTCGAGACCTTCTAACTCGAACTCATCTGCACCTACTGTCCTGCGATCTACTCTGCTGTAGCCGTTGCCGTTGCCGAGTCCGTTCAGATGAGGCGCCTCGGCATCAGCTTTGTCGTCCTGTTCCCAGGCATAGACCGCGTACAAGTGAATGAGCATATTGACGACTGATTCCATGTTAGTCAAAGAAATTACAGAATGAACATGAAATACTTACAGAGGAACAGCAAGAAAGCAATGCTGAATAGAATTAGTACATATGACACATGGGTGACATTGGCATCAGAAAGAAGCTGCATCTGCTCTTCTGTAGCTCCCATGAACATGAACCCGCCCGCCATAAGCAGAAATGGTGTCATGTACTGGAAACTGTTGGGATCTGAGCCATCGGAAGCGATAGATGTCCTGTCCTTGAGCACAAACGAAATCTCAATGATACGTGCAGCACCCGCAGCCATCAGGGTGTACCCAAAGACGGTATGAATCATGGTGGAAAGAGGGAGATGCTGGGGGTGCGCCGACATGGCCCATCCTGTCATGAGAATGACGATACCCGGGATCAAGTTGCGCTTAGGCTGTCCGTTTCGCTTTCGGCTGAGCCAGATACCGACCAGACCGGCTGCCCACCACACAATGCCCATGGACGTATGCTGAAGGTCGTTGTGAACCCACGGGTGGCCCCATCGGTGCTCGGTAAAGGTGTTGACACAGCCCCAGGCGGCAATGACCATCGAATCGAAGAATTCCTGGCTCCTGCCTGTTCTCCGCAGCCACATCTGTCCAACCAAAAGCAAGATCAAGAGAATGATGCCATATGCGATGAAGGCGCTACCCATGATAAAGTGAGCCAGGCACTGTCCGGTATGATCGGCCCTGCAGAAACCCAAAGCTGTGATGCCTCCGAAGAGGAATTGGACCCATGTTATGACTGGCAGAGCCTTGCCGACCACTCCGTGCACCTTTACTACAACGCTGCGAATCTTTCCGTTGATGCCTTTCTCGAGATGAAGCTTCAGGTAAACGCCCATTGCGATCTGGGAAATCAACATAAGCATGATGACGGGAACAAATCTAGCGTGGATGTTGTCAGGGGAGAACTGTCGGCCGCCATGGTGGTGAGCCAGGAAGTATCCGATGATTGCGAGGATAGAGCCGAGTGTTTGCACGGGAACGTGCCACTTGGATCGTATTATCTGGTAGAAATGTTAGTCTGACGTTGCTGTAAGTATGCGGATGTCGGCTATCGTACGCCCAAGACCATTCCCGTGGGGAAGATGATGCCCCACGCGAGCGACTGTACCAAGATGTGTGTCCATAGCACCGAATCCTGTCACAGGTTAGCTGGTACCCACAGTACGCCGTTTTTTGGTAGCGCGTACAATCGGATCCGGGGAGACGGCATCTCCTTGCTGTATTTTGCTGACTTCGTGGACGTGTGCGGTGGCCATGGTGCTGCAGAGGAGCGTGGCAACGGCCACTCTTGTTGTGATAAGGCCCATGTTGTCTATCGCGCTTCAGATGACAATTCGGGTGGCGCGAGTGTGGATTATGAGGATCCTTTGCAAGACACGGAGAGTTTCAAGGCCACATCAGGCGCGTATCGGCAGGAGTTGGGAGTGGGAGATGACCCTGAGCCGTGATTGTTCTCGTGTTGATGCAGTGCGTCGTCGTAATTTCCAGTTCACGTGAACGGGCGGGCCCCTTGGTTGGCTTCCGCCGTGCTCCGTCCGCCAACAACAACAACTGCTACCAACGTACACTCCTACGCCCCTCTGCAACTCTAACATCAGCCAACATGGCTCTCGACAAGAGCGTCACAGAGATTGCTGACTCGGACGAGGAGCTTGTCATGTCTTCGCCTGGTGTTGGTTCATCTGATGTGGCGGATAAGCTTCACGCCATGGCCTCTGCTGTGCCTCAGGAGCCCCCTCAGGACGCGTCCTGCACTTACCAAGCTCTCACACAAGCCGATGCCAACACAGTTCCACTGAGCACCGTTAGCTTGGATCTCGCTCGCAACGGCGCTTCAGTCGATACCGATGCATCTGGTGCCGACCACACTGACGTGAAGCCTCAAGACGCAATGCTTCCACAAGAGGAAGGAGCAGCACTTCAAATGAGTCCCCATGAACGAGCCGCCCGCGCGCATATGAGCCCGCTGGGTTTTGCACACGGAACCATTCATGCGTCAGTTGCGAACAGAAGCACGGTGCAACCCGAGTCACTAGCAGGGGAATCGCGGTCCGTCAGTGCTGCACCCACTCCAGACAGCACCTCTCCGCCAAAAGACGCTTGCCCTCAGTCTGTTCGAGACAGCTCCGGTACATGCCAACTGCAAGCTCCCCTTGGACAAATGGTTATAGTAGAAGATGACGTCATGCGTGACAATCCATCACAGCCCAGATCCAACGACGTGGACCAAAATGCAATCCAGAGTGCAGACATGATTTATCCTAACGAGAGTGCAGTTGGTTCTTAACCCGCTCGTCCTCCCGTGTCCTTGCTCACACAGTTTAGGTGCACATATCTCAAACCATGGGCACATCTGACACGACAAGGATCTCTGCAGCAGCAACCAGCTCCCCAAATCCGACTACCCCAGGCACCACAGCATCAGCCTTAGCCGTGCCCAAGGACAGTAGCGACACTCATCTACATCCCGGTCTTAGTGAAATCCAAGGTGGAAAACCACAAATCAATACCAGCGATTGCAGGCCAAGCATTCCTTGCCAGGAGTCAGTAGTCAACGCACAGGAGTCCATTCCCTTCACACCGCAAATCCAGCCCTCCCAAGAAAAGCCTCAAGCTCCAAGCTCGGCACTGCAACAGGCATCACAGCCGAAGGACCCTGAGAGTCATGATCTCAATGCGAGTGATGCACCCTGCAGCTCCACTTGCGAGTCTCAAGACCAACCTACTACGGGAGCTTCGCCGACAGCCGCCGTGCTGAGGAGCCCGTCAAGAATTCCCCAGGAAACCACTCTATCGGAGTTGAAAGCCCACAAGGCTGCCCTGTTGACCTCTCTGCGTAGTCTCCCGGCGATTCAGGTTCTTCTGGAAGAGATGGCGTCTTCTGAAGGTGACGCAGATGGACGGTACGACGAGCCTACTGACGCGCACATCATGACCGCAGCGAACAAAGTCGTCAAAGAACACATCAAGCTACTGCATGAGTATAATGAACTGAAAGATGTGGGCCAGGGTCTTATGGGGTTAATCGCCGACCAGCGGGGTGTCAGAATTGTCGAGGTTCAGGAAGAGTTTGGTATTGATGCAGAAGACTAATTGGCCATTAGGTCTTGAATACTTTTCATGGCCAGGAACGGGTGAATATGCATTGACTCGTGAGAGTGGCGGAAAAGAGGAGCCACCGGACACATCCCTTCGGGGCCATCTTGACTTGTATTCCGTTAATTCTCCGCGTGGATCAATCATCTCAGCTCCTTTTGCTCAGTGACATTGCGAGTCTACTGGTTTAGTTTGTCGGATAGGTCCACTTCCGCTCGACCATACGCCCATCCCATCAAGCGCTGCTTACATAGTATTCTGCCGAGAAAGTAGTGTCGTCTTGGCCCATAGACCTGTTCGTGATCTATAGACATCCTGGGTGAAGGCAAAAATGAAACATGCGCTTCTCACACTCTAGCTTGTATGTAGCTTATCTTTGCATGGAAAACGGGCAACTCTAGCGGACCTTGAAGCACGCGACAGTCGGTCCGCGGAAAACCTACCAACTGCATGGTACCATCTCGTGCAGCCAAACTGGCGGGTACCGAAAATTTACCGATGGGGCTGAACGCCATCCGGGGGATCTTCGGCTCCACGTTACACAATATCTCGTCTAGTAAGTATACATTTACTATATGTGCATCTCCTCTTGAACTAGGACGGACGCATGCTCTTGTAAATGAAGAATTCGACTGCAGAATCCGCGTGACAAATGCCGCATCTGTAGTTTGATTAGTGTGCTAGCAATCTCGGACAAGACCGGCCAGTGGCCAAGCTTAAGGCTACTTATAGGGACTTGCTCAACCACGCACGTTGACACCACATCCTGCGGGGCTTCTTCGGCCATATCGACGTCCGTACTTTGTCAGGGGCCGCGATGGCGATTATGGCTGGCTCCGATGACGCTAGAGGCGAATAAGCGGTTCTTCGACACTGTATCAATCGGTTGCCATGGTCGGGAGGCAACTCTAGAGTCTTGGCAGCTGTTGAGTTTTGACATAGGACGGTTGCGGCTGTGGCACTATTGCGATGATAGCAGCCACCACGCAAAAGCAACAAAAGCCACAGCAAACTCATGAGAGCAACAGCAAAGCAACCTTGAGCAGGGCCATGGGAACTTCTCCTCCACTAAAGCGGAATTGCGGGACCATGTTCCTTACATGGTCATGTCAATCCTGATCGGCAGACCCACATCAAATGACCAGGGGAGATCTCAAGTAGTATGGATGTTCAAAGCGTTCGGAAGTATCCTTGCGGTTTATAAACGTAGTACTTACATATCTACCGCGCTTGGCCCCTCTGTAGGCTTGGGCAACAGGGTTTCGCGTTACGTTCTTGACATCTGCTAAAGAATGTAGTGCCCGCGGTGTTGAGAGTGGCGCGGCTCGCTGTCTACTTCGGGGCAGTTGTACCGTGCAACGCTACCCGCGCCTCTACTCCACAAGAGTCTCAGGATTTTAGTGAGTGGCGTCTGCGTATGATGATTGGCGAGATGGAAGACCGAGAGATGAGCTAGCCCGTTCATTCTCAACTCAGCTCCACGCTACAAGCCGCCCTGCCTACAATCACCCATGGCTAGTCAGTTCGCAATTCGAGATCTCGCTCAGCACCTGTGCACCTGCCGATAGAGTAACGTCTCCTTGCAAGGGTCTAGAATGATATATGTATCCTTGTTGCAGAGGCCCCGCACTTTTGCCCGGTAGGATCCTAATTCACCGAGTCTTCTTCTTCCCCAGAATCGACTCAGACTCGACTCAGAGTCGTGGAGCAGAATGGCATCTGTTCAGGATTTCCAGCTTGCAGCCCTTGCTGCTGGCTTCACACTTGGCTTCGGCTTCCTGACAGTATGGGAGGCAATCAAACAGACACGGCGGAACCACAGCCCATTACGCTCTGCCTACATTTACATGGTATGGGGTGAGATTCTGGTCAACGTTTGCATTGGAGTCATTGGATGGCTCTTTCTCAATGACACAATTGGGCCAACGTGAGTAATTCCCTTCTTCAACACTGCTGCAAGAGACATCTACTAACACACATTGCTATAGTGTTCCAGTCTTGTTCTCTATCCTGTTCTTCTGGGTGTTTGAGATCCAACTGCTCATGCAAATCATCATCAATCGAATCGCACTCATCGCCGAACACCGCAGTACGATCAAGAAACTCAAATGGGGCACCTTCATCCTAATCACTGCGATCAACATTGCCGTCTTCTGCATCTGGATCCCCTCGCACACAAACCCCCCTCTCAACGACACCTTCGTTAAGATCAACAACGTATGGGATAAAATTTCCAAAGTCCTTATTCTCATCGTCGACGCAGCACTGAACTGGTACTTCCTTCGTACTGTCAAGATTCGGTTGGTGAACCAGCACGGTCTAACCAAATACGCGCCACTCATCAGCTTCAATGGCAAGCTCATGCTCATCTCCATCGGCATGGACGCCCTCCTCATCGGCCTCATGTTCCTCCGCAACCAAGTCGTCTACATCCAATTCCACCCCGTCGCCTACATGGTCAAACTCAACATCGAAATGTCCATGGCCTCGCTCGTCGTCCGCCTTGCCCAGGGCAAGTCCCAAAACGACATGGGTCCCGAGGAATTCCACAGCACCACCGATCCCGAATCGCATTCGCGCTCTGCCGCCGCCGCACAGTCCCTGCAGCTTACCAACCGCTCCAAACGCAACCACCCTTCGAATATGCGCAGTGCTGGTCTCAGCAAGATCGATAGTGACGAGAGTCTCGATCTTGGGGGAATCCAGTGCCATACTGAGCTCCGCATTACACATGAGGATCGCAAGGATACGGCTGATAGGAGGGATTTTGTGGACAGCAGCTCGAGGAGCAGTAATGATGCGCCTGCGCTCAGCGTCTTTGGGGATGAGACGCCCTTGCATAAGAAGACGTTTAGAGTGCAGGAGAAAGAGGTGTAATGAGATTGATTTTTTCTTTTGTTTGGCATAATTTAGGTAGAGTTTACGTCTCTAAGTTGTAGTAATGATACCCGTCTGTTAGCGGCTTTTGTAATACATGATTGGGGAATTCTTGATGTCCCCTTTTCTTTCTCTGTGGTTTTGTTGTCAGGGGCGTGGTCAAATTACATATCAGAATGATTGCATCAAGAGCTACTGGGATTCAAGGTATGACCTTATGCAGAGTTTCATTCATAGAAAAAATTGTAAGGTAATCTGAACAACCTTGCTAAGTATTAATAACCCTATTGTATTTCCAAAAAATACTAAACTTGAAAAAAAAAACCTTCTAATTCACCAACTCCATAACCTTCCACCCTCCCACCTGCATCTCCCCCATTGTACCAACCGCAGAAATCATATAGCCCTCCCTCCCCTCCGCCGCCCCCGCAACAACATGCCCATACACCTCCCCTGTTCTCTCACCGACAACCAACGACCCGCAGTCTGCAACGCCAAGACTTCCCCTATACTCAAACCGCAGCACCTCGGCTACTTTACTGCTTCCAGGCAGCCGCAGCAGCACGGGTGTTTCGAGCAGCGAGGCGCGGAGGCGGCCCCATGTTGTGTGGATTACGACTTCGGCTTTGTGAGAGTAGGGGAGGGAGGCTAGGCGGAGGGGTTTGGGTAAGGGTTGGGTGAGTGAGTTGGAGAGGGAGGATAGGACGGTGGTGTTTGTTATTGTGACGAGGGTCCAGTCTTGGTTGAGGGTGGAGGACGGGGAGGACGGGGTCCAGTGGCCGAGGTGGTGGAGGTCGATGTCGTTGGCGCGCATTGTGCGGTTTACGGGGGTTTTGGGAGGTGTCATGGAGACAGAGGAAGATGGAGCGTTTATGGGAGGTGGAGATGGGGCAGAGGTGGTTGGGTCTTGGGTGTCGATTGTTTCTGAGGAAGAGGAGAGGGTTGTGCTTTGGGATAGGTCGGGGGATAATGACTCTTGCGAGCTTTGGCTGTATCGTGATAGGAGTTCGAGGTCGTCATCATCGTACTCATCACTATCCGAGTCATTGTCGACACTGGTGTCTTCGCCCCATCCGACAACAGGCTCAGTTGCCACGTCTTGTGCCTTGAAGACGTGTGCGGCTGTAAAGTACCCGAGTCCCTGTTCGCTAATGACCGCATTGCCAGTGGCCTTCTCAAACGTTCCATCGTCGTCTCTTACATACAGTGCCATTCCTATCGACTGAACCTCGAATCTAGGGTCGTAATACACTTCACGCCGACCCGGAACAGACAGATTATCTTGAGTTTCTTTCTTTGGCCCCTGAGCGACTAAAACCAAACTCCCCGTAGGCAAGAGATCCATAATCGCAGTCTCGAAGCCCGGGTACCGCTTCAGGATTCCACTCTTCTTCACAATCTTCTGCGCCTCTTTGGCTGCGTTTCTGTTCTTGCTTACAAACACCAGAACAGGGACAGCTGTAGATGGAGAGTAGCCAATCATATACACACTGATGATGAGGCCCGAGCGATCAGGTCGTTCAGTGCATTCGTTCTCGAGTTTCTTCCATACCAGGCGGCTGAAGCTGTTGTAGGCTTTCAAGGCCTCGCCTCGGACGTCCCAGCATAGGTCATCTTTTTGCCATGGGGGATTCTTGAGGCAGCAGCATCGAGTCATGAGTTCCCCTACGGATTCCTCAGGTGAGGTGAATTGGCGGGTGCGTCGAAGCATTGGGACACGCGACTCAAACATTGTGACGGTTGAATAAGAATTGAAGTGACACAGAATGATTGAGCACAAGAACACGGCGACTGGGGATTAAGTAAGAAGGGGAGTACAGATGCGCAGATAGCGGGGTAGTCAACCTCAGACGCACCAGTGTGCCTGAGGCGCAGCAGGAAAACTCTCATCCTATCATTTTATGCCCAAGGCTGAAGCGCATCTGCGGGTAGCAAGGCGCAGCCCCTCATGCATATTGGGCAGTCTGGAGATTAGTTGCTCGCTTCAGCATGCAGGCTGAGCAACGTCACATTGATTGCCGGATACCAATTCCCATTATCAACAGCCTTCTCCCCATGACAACCATATCCAAGGAAAAATGTCACTCCAAGACAACCCAAGCGTACCAGTCGAAGACGAGAAACTCCAACTCGAAATCATATCCCAGCTATGGCATCAAACCACCCCAAACTCCACTGACCCATCCGACCTCGACTGGGCCCCATACATGCTCTACTACAACACCCAATGCAACACCGCCATCCAAACCAACAAGGGCAAATACACCACAATCCGCAAACATGTAGATATTCAATCTGTCGCACAGCACATGCACGCCTCCACTCCCAAAGCGGCCATAAAATTCCACATCCAACCCTCCATGCGGGGAAGCCGAACCGCCGAAGAAGCAGACATCATGCTCGAAGGTTCAGTCATGCTCGTCGCCCGCCTCCTCAGCATGACAGACATCGGGCCCTTACCCTACACCCGCCGCGGAACCCACCACTCGCTCACCTGGACATGCCCAACATCCAGCCTGCAAGATCTCCTCCGCTCACATTTCGTACCGCAGGACCCGGCATCCTACGAGCAAGATAGCTCGGACATGCTCTTCGACGAGCACTTTACAGCCTACAAGCTCTACCGCTACTGCGGCGTCGAAATCTCTTGGACAAGTAACCTGGCAGACCACCTGCACCTCTCGCGGGGTGGCAAGCAACTCTACATCTTCCACCACGCGTCCTTTCTGCAATGGCAAGATGGCGTGCTGCCGGATGGTCTGGCCGCGGAGACGCTGGATACGCTTGCCCTGCTTTTCCCGGCCAACGATGCCAAAACGAGGGACTGGGTCACGCATGCACCGCCGCTGGCGGGCGTCGATATGCGCATTTTGGAACTAGGCCGGTTGAGGGATTGCCGAGGGAGCGACTTTAGGTATTGGAGGAAAAGGCTGGGGGCGCTGGAAAGGGTCTTCGAGGCGCCGCATCGGGGGTCGATTGCGCAGCAGTGGCGGGATAGACGGGATAAGGCGCAGTGGTACACGTTTTGGGTTGCCATGGTGATTTTGTGCTTGACGGTGTTTTTTGGGGTGGTGCAGAGTGTCGAGGGGGCGTTACAGGTATACAAGGCGTACCATCCTACGTAGTTTGGAGATTTTGCTTTCAAGTTCACATTGAGGATCCATGATAATGCATCCGTGATTCATTGCAAAGGCAGGGGTAGACTTGTTTGAATGCTTGAAAGTTTTCCATTCACTTTTGAACACCGCTCGCTGAAGCACTGCATTCCATAGCTAATAACTGGGTATCTTTTTTCCACTCACACCCATGCCATACTGTTCCACCCTGTCCTTGACCAGCAAAACGATAAAAGGCAATAAGAAAATTTGAGAAAAAACGCCATCGCTATGCTGATACTAAACGCTTCTTTGGGTAAAATATAATACATTCTCTCCTTGGCAAAGAAAAATATCCTAGTCGGAAAGCTCAATGGCGTCGTCTTCGGTTGCTCCGGGTTTCATGGTGTTTTCGCCCCCATTATCATCCTCTTCTTCAGACTCATCCTCCTCTTCCTCTTCCTCTTCCTCTTCGTCGAAATTGTCTACAATCTCTTCGTCTTCGTCGACCTCGTCGTACTCGTCGTAGTCGAGGAGTTCGTCGTCGTCCTCGCCTTCCAGCATCTCGGAATCTGCGTCTTCGTCGTAGTCTTGATGATCGGGTTGGGCAGCAGGGAATTGAGAGCCAGGATACGAGCTTGTCGCACCGACAAATTCCTCATCATCGGTCATAACGGCATTTGAGTCTTCAGCGTCAATATCAACGACGTCAACGCCACTGGCTTCTTCAATGTCGCTGTATTGTTCCTGGGTGTAGCCCTGGATTTGGGCTTGCGCGTGCTGGACAAACGACTGCTGGGTTGGGATTGGAGATGAAAAACTCATAGGCTCCGTACTAGCCGGTCTTGTGCTGGACGGTGATTTGCTAAGGCCCTGTTCTACTCTGTAGGCACGAACGGCATCCGCACCGCGACCGTAGAGATGGCGGGGCACAAACCGACTTGTACGTCCCCAGTATGCTGGACGGTCCTTGGTCGACACTGTGCTGCCGAAGCTACTATTACCATACATCGACCGCTGGCTCTGAGACGCTGAGAAACCGAGGTTGGGGACGCTTCGGCTCCAGTCATGCTGTACATTTGAAGTTGTATCATAACGTCCTCCAAGCCCTTTGGCACGTGCAATGAGCTGGCTGGCATTTCCTTCAAAGGAATCAGCCCTGTAAACAGACATTGCGCTGTTAGTGTGTGGAGGTGGCGGCATTTCGGACTTGGCCCCGGCCACTATCCTTCGAGCTCTTTCGATCAAGCTGCTAGTAGAGTCGTTGAACGAGGCCCGACCGCTGATAGAGGCAGCCCCGTTGATCGACTGAGATGGTGATATTGTGTATGTTGAGCCCTTGAAGGATCGTTTGATGGCTTCAGCCCGATCAACCTGCTCCTCATCCATAGTCTTGGGCGTAGGTGGTAACTGACTCTCTACTGAAGGAGAGTTTGATAACAGCTTGGGTCGCTTAGACTCAATCAGCTTTGGCTTCTCTTCATCGGAAGAGGTAAAGTCAAAACTCCTCTTCCGGTGTTTGCTAGGATCGATGCCCATCGCTCGTAATTTGAACCAGTCTGTTTCTGTCCGATCTACAGGCGCCGTTGCAGCGGCCTGGCGGTAGGCTTCCGAATAATTGAGTGCCGAAGAACTTTCTTTGGTTGTGTTTGTGTTTGGCGGATTGTTGTGAGAACGGCCTGTTGTCCTAGGACCTGGATTGTTAGGAGTTGCATCAGGATTTGTTGTGTTGATTGCTTCGGAGACCTGCACACTTCGCCGCTCTTCTGTTCGTTTAGCACGCCGAGTATTGGACGAACGTTGTTGCGGTGCTGCATAGCCATTGGGCTGACTTGTTGGCCCCGCTTCACCGTTCAGGGCAACAGTCTGCCCAAGGACAGACGCATCCGTGTGCTCCTTCTCTCCCATCGACATTGTCCGAATACGCTTCTCTTTCAATCGTCTCCTCCTCTCTTTAGCTTTTTGCATTCGTTTCTTCTTTTGAACCGCCGCCATGATCTTGGCTAACCCCGCCCGCTTCAATTCCACCAAGTAATTTTCGTACTTGCGATCCACAAGCGCCACTCTCCTCTCCATCTCTACTGACTTTGCAGCTTCATTCGAAATATTGATAACCGCATTCTCGATGAACTGCATCAACAATCCCTCCTGGGGGTCGAACATAACATCCGACGTAAGTGTACGTAATGCCAAATCCATTTCACGTAGTCGTTTCGCCCGGGCTTCCTCCTCTTGCGCTTGACGTTGCCTCGCTTGTCGGGCCAATTCCTCCTGCTCCTCACGTGCTCTACGCTCTCGTTCTACCTGCTCTTTTCGTTGGCGTTCTGCCGCTGCAGCAGCTTCCCTCTTTCGTTCCTCCTCTTTTGCTTGCTTTGCCCGCTGCGCTTCTTGCACACGTTGTCGTGCCTCATCTTCCCGTCGTTGTTTCTCAGCTGCTTCGAGCCGCGCTTTTTCTGCTCTTTGCGCTTCGGCTTCAGCTTCTTGTGCGGAGGTATCTTCTTGAGGCGGTGACCCTGCTGGCGTGAAAGAGAATGATCCTGCCGGGGTGGTAGAAAATGACCCTGCTGGCGTAGAAGAAACCGCGGGTTCTGAAATCTCCTGGGAAGGTGCAAAGTTGAAGCCTGCTGTAGTGAAATTGAACGCGGGAGCTGGCTTAGAAGCCTCATCTGATGGGACTGGCTCGTGTTTCAAAGTTGAATCTTGTGGTTGGGATTTCGACTGTGCAGCTGTGAATGCTGAAGGTAGAAAAGGGTTGCTTGGTGCCGCAGACATTGTAGGCTGAGACGGGGTAGTATTGTTTTTCAAAAAGGGATTTGTTGAAGGTGCGAGCGGGGCAGATTGGAAAGGCGAAGAATTATTCTGCTGAAGAAATGGGTTCGTGTTCGTCTCTGCCGGCGACGCAAATTTGATGGGATTCTTTGAAAGGTCAAACACGCCCGATTGGGGAGCCTTTGCGAAAGGGTTAGGGCTTCCTGCGGGTGCGCTGCTGGATTGGAACGGAGAAGCCGTTGGGTTGAGGTTGAAACCGCCACCTAATGGCTTGGACCCATTTGACTGCTGAGAAAAGATGTTGGGTTTCTCTGGAATAAACAATGACGTCTGGTCTTCCGCTTGACCAACCTGATCTGTGAATGCATTGTTAAAAGAGAAACCGCCCTTCTTGGCCTCTTGTACTGTCAAGCCTGCGATGACGGCTGAAAGTGGACGGTCGTGACGTTTTGCCTCAACAATTGATGCGGAGAAGAATTGAGGTTTGACATCGGCTTTGGGAAGAACCACAGCTTTCCTCTCATAACTCTTTTGCTTGATATCCAAGAAAGTCTGACCTGCTTCGTTCACTTCGAACACGAAACCGTGAGCTTCACAGAATTGAACCGCCTCGGAGTCAGTATCCATGCCTAGGACTTCTCTCAGCTTGCCAGTCGTCCACTCTTCAACACTGACTTGATGTCTATATTGGCCAACTCGATAGGCACGCCAAACCGAGTCGAGTACGACATGGCGTACCCTATTGAAGCAGATCGCAGCAGCGCATGCCATCAAATATGAGACTCTCGGCGACTTGATCAGATCCCAGAAAACCTTCCAGTTGGACTGGCATTGTACGAAATTGTCGTAGTTTCGGTGAATGATGATTGCTTTGAGAACGCGGAAGATTTCCAGGGCAGTCTTTACTCGTGGATTGTTTCGCAAGTCGCTTGGGAGGCGGTGTAACTCGTTCTCGAGTTGTGTATTGGCATAAATAGGAGCCAAAATCAAGCGATACGCCCAGAACTCGGCCTCGTTCTCTGACACAATGCCAGCTCGCCGATTGTCGCCATATCGCTCCTTCAATGAGATCAGAGTCTGATTTAGTTGCTCGACGTCCTGCTGATGCGAGTAATCGTCCTTCGTACTCTGGGCCATGTGATGAGCTGATAGCATGTAGAAACGGGCGCTGTACTCGAGAGAAGTGAGGAGGATTGCGATATCGGTCTTGTTCTCGATGCGCTGAGTGCGCAAGTCCTTCCGGACGGCTCGTGTTCGGTCCCAAAGCCACGAATGAAGGAATTGGAAGTCATCTTCATCCAGTCGCCCAAAAAGGTACTTGAGGGTTTTCTACAGTAGTTAGTTGCTTGCTGGTTAGAGGCTGCTGGCGACTTACCAAACAAGTGGAGGGCGAGCGAATCTCTGAGACCAATTCTACATCCATGCCTGCTGCAGAGCGCGCATATGCCTTGACCATGCGTGACTCGTCTGGTATGCGCTGACTGCGGCTGGGTAGGTGTTGGGTCTCGGGGGTCTGCGCAGGTCAGTGAGAGTACTTTGGATATTGCAATTGATACTCACGCATTCCGGCGCCTTGACATCTAACTCAACAATGCGACGCACGCGCTCGTACTCGGGGCACATTTCCTCGCATATGCCGTAGAGCTTGACTGAGTCGCTCAAGCGCATCTGGCCTTCTGGGTTCATGAGCCCATTCTTAATGAATTGTTCACGAATTTTGGGTCGCTCTGATTTAATCTAGTCCTATCAGCACTTTTCCTAAGTATGGGTAGAAAGACTCGTACGTAGTTCAGACGTTTCTGATATTCGTGGGGCGCAAAGTTCGGGGTGTTGTTCTTGTTCGAGGCAAAGGCGTTCCTGGAGATACCCGGTTAGAATAGGCCGCGAGCAGCCATAGGAAGCCCTCGTCTGGCATGTGTCGCAAGAATGATGATGATGTGCAGTGTATCCGGGTGATGACGCCCTTGGCCCGGCCCACGACCTGTAGCCATGTCAGAGGAAACACGAGAACTTACGAAGAACCGAAATGACCGCCCCGCGCATTGAAGCCACCATTGCCATTTGAACCACCTCTGCCGCCGCCCGTGTGCTGTCGTCCTTGTCCACGCGTATAGAGGGTTTGCGCCGGGCGCTCATCGTCGCTCTGCGCGTTGTTCTTTCCACGTCCACGGTTCGAATTCGGAGTGTAACTGCCTCTTCCACCGCGTCCTCTCTCACTCCCACCACCCCTTCCACCGCGCGGAGTCGCCATGGTCGCGACTCTATCACAAGAAACGTTTCGTGCGCGATCAGTGAGCAACGTCACAGTCAATGATCGGATGTTGGGAATGCTCTAGTGTCGGATGTAGAGGCGGGTCCGATTCGGGGTTCTGGGCGTGTGCTGCTGGCCGAGTCGGGTTGAGAACGACTGGCGGCTGCTGGAATGCAACAAAGACCCATTGAAGTCGCGAACAATGAGCTGCGATGGACTTCACAAGCCCGGGCCTGTGACGCGGTACTAGCGCCTTGGCACACGTGTGGCTCCCTGCCACCTCACCACCGCACCTCTGTATATCCGCACCATTACACACCACCCCCTTGGCCTCATCACAGTCAAGCCCTCTAGTACTTTTGTGCGTCTTGCTCTTGGATCCTTCTCTGATGTAACATACCCGAAATATTTTTGACTAATAATATGCGACGCTTGTGCGTCTTTTCTATCAACATGCAGTCGCTTAGGCTACGTCGCCATCCCCTTACTAGTACTACTACAGAAGCTCGTACTGTGGTTGTCTGCTTCATGGCCTTCCCCAACACATCTCCTCTGCCAACTCCACCATTTCCAATTACAAGTGCGACACCTCGCAGTTAAACAGACCACCAGCCTAATAACATTTACCACAATCCCTAATTGCATTTCTCCTTCAACCAGTCATCAAAGTGTACCGAAGTCGTTGCAATGCAGTCGTGAGCGGCGTTAAGTCGTAGAGGGTATTCTGCAAGACACGATGGGCTGAAGGAACAAAAAGTCTGAAAATCTGGCAATCAAAATCCGAAACACGTTCTAGCTAATGGGCCGAAGCAACCAGCATTGGGGCCATCCCTTTGCTAGTCTAGAACAAAATGCGAAAGTTGCGAAGCCAAGCTGATGAAATATTCGCGGCCGTTGATCGTGGGTGCAAGGCACCATGAGTCAAAAGAGATTGAAAATCAGTCCCACATATACACGCCGAGTTGTGCGTTAGTATCGAGGCGCCTCCACCGGGCATGCCATACCAGCATCAATGGATGTATCGCCGAACAAGTGCAGAGAATTAGCCGGTGACGACATATACATCTTGTAGCCATGAGGATAGCAAGTGTCGTCGTGGAATGCTACATGCTCAACCGAATGAGAAAAGTGTGCATCAAATGCAGGAAATGGATGGTGATACAATGGTGTTGATGACGAAGTAAACCCGGATTGAGATTGAGACCCGCGGAAAGGGGGGCAGCCGTCCTGTTGTAGCTGAACCAAGTATTGATTGAACCCTGAGTCACCATCAGAATACTGTATTTGGTGGCCGCCATTGATGTGGGTGTGATCATGGAGCGGTGTGCAAGCAGCCATCCCAACGTCTAGGTCCATCTCCTCGCCCAGAGTCAGCCCATGCATTGGTTGCCCAAAAGAAACGTTGGGTGCCGTAGTGGTACTACAAGGGCAAGTATGGAGGGGAGCAGCTGTGCCTCCACAGGCCGAGACGGGTGTCTGCTGGGCAGTCTCCTTTGGCCCGAAGATATCAGATCCCTCAGGTTGGTCCGAAGCCGGTTCTTGGCCGCACAGGTAAAATGAAGTTGCACAGTCGTCTATCTCGGTCTCATTTCCAGAAGCTTCAACGTCGGTTTCTGATCTAGGGGCTGCGCCTTCTTTAGTTGTTCGAGGGCGCTTTCTTGGAGTCGCGGGCTGGCGGGCAGGCCTAGTGAGCGGTTGCCAGGTCACTCGCTTTCCTTTACCAGGATCTGGAATACCAGAGCCCTCGTAGTGGCGGTGCCACGCAAAGTGGTCCTCGTAGAGCTGCGCAGTCTCGAATAGGTTGGGCAGGATCTCTGCTAGGGCCCGATTTTGCATCTTCTCACTAAAGTTGGATCCCTTGGATGAAGAGAATTGCTCAGGAGGTGTTGTTTCGACAGCATACTGGGCTGCTTGCCGAAGTTTCGCTACCCAAGAACCTTTACGCTTTTCCTTGTCAATGAGACGGTGTTGAAGCATAATGTCTACTGCTAGCGTCAAAAGCCCTAGTAAGAAGCTTTAGCTGTTGGCCCACACAGAATCAGGGTGGCTACCTACCCGCCTTATCGAGGTGCGATGGCTCTTCATAGCTAACGTCTCGAGGCCACCAGGGTGGGGAGCATTCCTCAGGCTGGTCCTTAGGCAACTGTTTATGGTATCGGCCGTAACGGCTTAACCGCTTAGGCTCAATCTGCTTGATCCAAGCTGTAACGATAGGGCGTAAGGGTTTCATCGTAAGCTCATCAAGTCTCCGGCGGAAGAACTTCTTCAACTCATCAATGTCGCCAATGTAGAACGTGTATGACTGCTCAGTTTTAATCTTGATATCTTCGCCAAGCTGCCCATCCTCCTTGTCGCTTGTGCTCTGAGCTACGGGTTGCGAACGTAGTTTTCGTCTACCGGATCGAGTTCTCTTTCGTGGATCCTGCTGCGTCCTGGGTTTACTAGATTTCCTACCTAGCCCTTGGGTCACAGTCGGCTGAGATAGCTGTAAGGAAGTGGCTTTGGGTGACGCATTGAAGCAGGTATTGCTTTTCTGTGACGACCCTGAACCGCTCCACAGGTGCTCGAAGCCGGGAATGGGCTCGTAGCATAACTGCTCATGGCCATCTGGAGAGGTGATTTTCCAGCAAGTCTGCGCGATGGGAATAGGTATCGCGACATCGGTTCGTGACTCATCCTGCTTGGTAGGCTGTGGTGCTTCAGGAAGACGCGAGGAGTTTTCCTGTACAAGTTAGCATATGCACTGCTCGCTCTTGCCAGTCCCAGAGAGCTGGACACATAAAGAGATACACTTGCCAGCGGTCTTAGAACAACCCCACCACCGCCATTCGCCCACGGATCATCGCCGTATTGGTCCGCTTTGATTACAGCGCCACGCTTCGACCGTATTGGTTGTTGACCTTTCGGTACGTTCACGAGCCGGGATCGTGACCGTGCCATGAGTGATATACTGAGCTGCAGTCAACAGGACTTAACCCATCAACATGTGCATATACCAGGAAGTAGTCGAAGATAGTGCCGCAATTGTGGAGAATCTAAATCATGGTGAGCCCGTATATCAATCCAATATATGACCCGTCTGTGAGCAAAACCTCATTTCCAGCACAGATGAACAGAACCGATTAGGTCAAAATGGCTCCAAAATAATCTGCAAGACATGGTATCTGCCTTCGCAAACTTCACTTAGCTCTTTATGTAAAGAGCGCTTACCTGAAGGAGCAAGATCTACTCTGTCTCGCAACTTTCAAACCAACGGTGACCTTCTCTGCTCCTCAAGTCTGATCAAAGCAGACTCGAAGATGTGTTCAACCAGACTAACTCGGCCAATGAAGAGGAGTGTGACACACTAGCCACGATACTGACCGGTCTTGTGAGAACCGTTCTGATGTGGCGAACTAGGACAGGATTGCAGTATCAAGGATAGAAGGTAGCGAACAAGATTTCGAGAGGGACAACAGCAATAGGACCGATGTTATTAACTGTCTAACTGGCACGCGCCTATGAAATAATCCCAAGCCATGTGCCTCTGCAGCTCATCGGCCTCTCAAGCAGGCCTGCTCGCCACCCCTGACAGCAAACAATAAGGAATATTACACACTATGCTAAAAAACGACGTCCGCGGATGCATCTTGATGGTCAATGGGAACTCTAGAATTTTATGATGCTCCGATCAACAGATCCTTCTCCAATAAAGATTGTGGGGACGCCATTTCGCGCTGGCTACACCCTCAGACATACGTTATAATCCTCTTTGGGTCTTCTGCCGGTTTACCACAGTCCAAAGGGCAAAATAATTGGCGACAGGTTACGCCAGGGTCTTAGACGTTTTCACCGCAAGGATACTTACATAAGGTGGCATAGAGACAGTGGCCCGCATGGGGATGTTATCGCTCAATACCACTATGCAGATCTTCGAATCCTGCCTGACTGTTATGTAAAACCGGTGCTTCAGCCTGACTCCCTTTTGCAGTTTTGCACAATTTATTCACATTTCATTCAAGAAGCATTCGAACACAGGGAGTTTATGAACTGCTTCTGATGTAAATTCTATTTTCTTTACTACTAATATCCTACATACACCCCCACGCGAATCATTCAAACAGTGCTCTTGCAGGTTCCAGCTGCATTTGGCCATCCGTGTGCCCGGTATAATACAGTAGCAGCATCTCCGAGGACTTTTGCATTATCCCCTGGTCCATCCCCTGCCACCCTTGTACCGCCGTTTAAGACAAATACAGTTCATCCGAATTTCGGATGGGTAAGTCTAAATGGGTAAGCGGCGCAACTGCTAGAAGTTATTTCAATGCTGTCCAAAAGCCCACTCACCAACGAATGTCATTTTCCGGCAATCTGTTACTGAATCTCATTCTCGACAAGTCATTACCGATCTTCCATAGATCTGGCTCGATCTCATATACCAGTGTACCGCGAGACCGCTTACCAGGTGGCCGGCAAAAGATTCTGTTTCCAATCTGACATGAAGCATAACCGATCGATATCAAAAGGCATAATGCATGAGCGACCTCACTAACCTCGCTAAATCTTACTGTTTTCAATATAGATACCACCTGCTGCAAAATGCCGTAGAATGCCGCCTTCCTATCTCTTGTTCCAGTCTGAACGTTGGACAACTGATTATCTGCTCATAACCACATGACTTCGCATCGAGTCGAAAAAATCTGGCTATGACGATTATCTGCAACAAGGATTTTGGGATGCGGCGCCTACCGCGACGGGAGCACACTGGACTAACGGTGCGGAGATCATGCAATGTACCATCCCACGGCTTTCAAGCCGTCACACAGGGATTTACCCACCTCAGCAGTGCAGCGTGGCTGCTGCCACCGTTCTGCCGACGGATGCCACTCCCGTTCGGATATTCATCCACTTCCCCTAACGACTAGGCTTACTCCTTCCTGCCTCAAGGGGCACATGGATCGAATCCCCACCCTCAGCCATCGGAATGCGTAACGCTTCCCCATGCGAGGTTACACAACCGAGTCAGGAGCAAAGAGCCTCTGTATACAATGTGATACAAGAAGCCCAATTCAAAATTCGTCCGCTCACCGACTGACCCTTTCGTATCTGCAAGGTCGCATCGGGGTTTCCCGTGGTCATGAAACGTGCTGATTACGCCACGTCCGCATGTGGCGTGGACAGGGAACAAGATTACATGCATGCCTCTAGTTCAACATTGCCATTCGAATCATCTCTGCAAATCCTGTTTGGTCAAAGCATACACAATAACTTCACATATCTGGAACAACATAACCCTGAAACGATTTTCTGTCACCACCATCTCTGCTGCCCAAGGAAGCATGTCAAAAACTCAATACATGAGACAACACCTCAACCAGGATACCTCCATTGAGCGCCAAAGACACAAAACAAGAAAGCGTGGACATGTCATGTACATGACCTTTTCCCCACCTTCAGTTGCAAGACATCAAAAAAAAAACCAGCGTAACATACTATCTACAATCCCAACGTGACAACCCTCCTCCCTCTAGTAAGCCCAACAAAGATAAGGAATACCAAAAGTCCCCATCTCCACTCTGCATACTACAACGTATTTACCCGCAAACGCCCCACCCCCCACTTCACTATGCTTTTTTTTTCCCACAAAATGCCAACACCCCCATAGCAAAGCCTTGAAAAAAAACCTCCTGTATACTAAGCCACCAAATCGGTACGGCACGGTACGGCACGGCACGAAGCGGAAAAACTAAGAATCAAGCGAAAAAAAAACGACAAGGGAAAGAAAAGGAAGCAAGGGATCTAAAAAAGAGCCGATTTTTTTTTCATCTTTCCGCTTCCGCCTCACCCCCATGAATGCCGCTCGGTTAACAACAAACTTGCATGCAGCCAAAAAAACAAAACATCAAGTGCGCCACGGAATGCAAATATGAATTCTACATACAATCACACCTTTCATCTCAATTATACAAAGCTTTTCTTCTTTTTTTGCCTTCTCAACATTAATACATCATCTTCTCCCCCATTCATTCTTTCCTCAACACCGTTGATGAATCAAACCTTTACAGCGAAGCCTGCGAAATATCCAGCGCATTAAGCAGCCCCGCCTCCTTAACAAGTTCGTAAAACAACCCTTTACTCTTCACAAGTTCAGCAGGAGAATCGAATTCCTTAACTTCACCTTTATCAAGTACAATAATGCGGTCGCTGTCAAGGATAGTGTTGATACGGTGCGCAATGGTGATGATGGTGCGGTTGCTAAACATAGGAGCGCGGAGTGTGCTTTGGAGCATGGCGTCTGTTTCAACGTCGACGGCAGCGGTTGCCTCGTCGAGGACGAGGATGTTAGAGGGGGTGAGCAGGGCACGGGCGAGCGAGACGAGCTGGCGTTGGCCGGCCGAGAAGTTGGAGCCACCTTCGTTGACGGTGGCGTCCAACTTACCAGGCATCGAGGCGATATGGTCCTTGAGGCGGGCATGTTCTGGCATAATGTTAGTTGTTGTGTCTTTATCGAGTATAGAGAAAACATACCTAGGACGCTCCAAAGCTCGGTATCGTCGTGTACATGCCCAGGATCCAGATTATCGCGTACAGTGCCTTCAAAGAGCGCGGCATCTTGAGGAATGATAGCCAAGCGTCGACGAAGATCCAAGAGTCCAATAGTGCTTGTATTGAGATTATCAATGCTTACGAAGCCTTCCGTGGGTTCAATGATACGGAATAGCGCAAGGGTAAGTGAGCTCTTGCCAGCACCAGTACGCCCAACAACACCAATCTTTTCCTTTGGCTTGATGGAGAGGTTGACGTTCTTCAGCACAAGATCTAGACCAGGTCGGTACCTAGTGCTGTAGTTGTTGAAAGCAACAGCACCTTGTGCTGGCCAGCTGATTGGTGGTCTATTCTTGGAGATGATTTCGGGCGCTTCGCTGGGCAATGCGGCATATTCAAGCACACGTTCCACAGAAACAATGTTGGTCTCTACCTCAACGGTCTGGCGGACGATCCAGTTGAGGCTTTGTGTAATCTGGAGCGCATAGGACATGGCTAGACCGACCCAACCAGCGTCAAGTCCGCTGTTGCTTGAGACGGAAATGATGGCGAAACCCGCAGCGGCCAGGATGATAACCGAGCCAAGAAACTCTAGACGAACTGCGAGCCATCGATTGGCACTGATGGAGGGGTAGTATGCACGTAGATTGGCATCGACACGCCATTCGTTTTCCATCTCGAAACGCTTTTGCTGGTTGTAGGCTCGAATCGTACTCATGCCACTCAAGCTCTCTTGGAAGTGTGCATAAATCGGGCTTCGGCTGACACTGTCCAGTCGCTTCAACTCTCGCGATGTGCGCAGGTAATATCGCTGAATGTAGAGATAAAGCGCTCCAAGCGGCAAAATCAGAGCCACGAAGGCTGGTGTCGACCATGAGATAACGACGAGGGTAAACCCGGCTACATCGGTCAGTCAAGTGTTACACACCGGGTTGGGTGCGGGGTGGCTGCATACCTCGGGCAGAATTAACGAATAGCATGTTGAACGTTCGGCTACAAGCGTACGTTAGACAACCTGCTGCAAGTGCGTTAGGGAACGGGAAGCGACTTACGCTAGCACCTCGTCTACTCTGTATATGTCACTGGTTCGTTAAGTTAGCAAATGTCGGCATATACACTAGAGCCGAAGAAGAGTCCTCCGCGGAATCTTTCAACGAACAGTTCATGGGGAAACATAAGCCAACCCATTGAAACAGCCCCAAGTAAGAATGACGACTTACCTTGAGAAGCGGTTAAGGATGCGTCCTGCGGGCGTTGTCTCGAAGAAGCTCATTGGCGAGCGGAATATCGCGAAAGCCATCCGCTCGTGTAGCTTGCGACTAGCCTACATGGCATGTCAGTAAACGCAGACCAAGCTAGCCCAGTAAGCAGATATTCACCTCAATCGAGCAGAAGATCCATAAAATGAGGGTCTGCACTACCACGAGTGCAGCTGACCCTACACCAAACGAAAAGTAGATGCCGATATATCGTCCCACATCGGGGTTTCCACCATACCGCTGATTGACATCTGACCAATGTTTGAGCCACACGTTTGCACCTGTATCGCAGCGTTAGCGTTGAACTACAAAAAATGTGAAAGCGACCATCCAATGGCGCACCAAATGGAGAAGCCAGTCATTCCAGCCCCTTCGCGGCCCTTGAACGTACCAATGGAAGTAGTCTGGGCCCCAAGAAGGAGCATCAGATAGATACCGACAGCTACAAGATTACTTGTCTTTGCGTATTCTCCATAAACGGACCATTTGACTTTGCCTTGCTCCTGAAATTCCTTTGTTTGCTTGCTCTTCAGCGGCCCACCCTCTTCATCAGTAACCTTGCCACGGGGTCCCTTGAAGCTTGCAGTGCTAGCACGACGGAGGGTGTTAAAGCTTGACTTGCGGGCTGTACCACCCCCTACTCTCAAAGGAGCAAGATGCGCACCGCCTTCCTGAGCTGCTTCGGCTTCGGCTTGATCTTCCTCATCGTCCTCGCCAGGGGGAGTACCACCATACACGGTGCTCTCGGCGTCACTCATGATGCTATCCGACATACGAGTGCTGTCGTCTTCTCCTTGGTCTTCGTTCTGAGATGTCTTGATCAGTTGGGCAATTTCACCCTTCATTGCCATCAGTTGATCGTAGCTACCCCTCTCGAGAATTCTACCCTCACGCAGCAGCAAGATCATTTCAGCTTCCATCAGGACTGGGATGGAGTTGGTCGCGAGAATTCTAGTCTTCCCTGCTAGCAACCCTTTGGGTCCGAGCACGTTGTTGATGAGATGTCTTGCTACATGTTGATCGACGGCAGATAGACAATCGTCGAGCAGGTAGATATCTGCGCGGGCATAGACAGCACGAGCCAAGGTGAGACGAGCCTTTTGTCCTCCTGACAAGGAGATGCCGCGTTCGCCAACTTCGGTCTGGTCGCCATCAGGCAGAGATGCAAAGTCATCGCGCAAGGCACAAGCGTTAACAGTCTTCTCGTAGAATTGAGGGTCCCAACGGTGACCAAAGACAATGTTCTCTCTGACAGACGCGTTCATGACCCAAGCAGACTGAGGTACATAGGCCGTCTTTCCCCTCAATACGACCTCTCCATGAATCTTCCACAGATCACCAAGTACTGCTTGGAGAAGCGAAGACTTGCCTGCACCAACGCGACCAACAATACATGTGAGCTCGCCCTTATGCGCAGCAAAGTTGATGTCATGCAAAGTCCGGCGCTCAGCATTCTTATCCCAAGTGAAGCTAGCATCCCGAATGCGGACTGACTCATCTCCCAACTCAGTCACTGCATCCTCGCGGATAACGGCGTCCTCTTGCAGCTCGTCGGCAGTCAAGAAGCCAGTAATACGACTCACCGCAACACTGGCCTCGACAATGGCGGTAATGACCATGGGGAGAATAGCCAAGGGGAAGGTAAGAAGGTTGAAAAGTGTAAGCGCAGGGAACACAATGTCGGTTGTTAGGGCGCGGTTTTGCGTGAGGACAAAAAGGCCGAATGTGGAGCAAGACACAAGGAAGGGAGTAGTAGACCACGTGAAGGTCGAGAAGGCTTGAGTGGCGCCAATCTTACGGAGGGTCTTGAGTTCTTGGTCGTTTCGGATGGTGTTTAACCGGCTAGCGAAGGCTGTAGTCCAGGCGTAGAGCTTGATAGACTTCATGTTGTTGAGAATCTCAGAAATCAGCTTTGTACGCGAATCCTTGTTCTTCATTTGCTCTTTCTGCAATGTCTTCATCCATCGTGCAATTACTCCGTTGACTGGAATCATGACGAACATGGCCGCCACTCCTGCGAAACAGCTCACGCCAAGCAGTTGATAGAGTGAGAGCATACACAAGACGATTTGGAAGGGAGCAGACCATAGCTGCTGACCGTACTGTGCGAGATCCTGAAGACGCTGTGTGTCCACAGCCATGTAATTGACAATGTCTCCAGTAGACTTTGCCGCTCGGCCTTCATTAGACAGACGGGTCGACTTTGCGTAGATGGCAGCCGTAAGAGAGGACTTGATGCGCATGCCAGTTTCGAACGCGCGTTGGAAGTATTGGTGGAGACATGCTGTCTGTGAGACTGACACAGCGAACATGGCAATCGCAATAGCAGCACCACGGATGACAGGCTGGGGATTTTCAGTGCGGTACGAGGCCACAAAGGTAATGAGCAGCCTCAGTAGCTGGGGCTGAACGAAGTTCAAAACGTCACTTATAGTCTTGATGAGGGCTCCTCGGAAGTATGGAGCACCGAAGGAACGGAACAGGGCAATCCAGAGCGATGGGTGCTTCTTCGACATTTCATGCTCCCAGGCCTTGTCAAATGTGGATGCAGTGTGTCGAGTCGAGTCGCGCTTTCGCAGATTCCACAGGTCATCCTGAGTAAGGAAAGTCTGGTAACCCCTCTTCATCAGGGGTGTCATCCAACCAAAGGTCAAGACCGAGAAGATGTCGGCGTATTCATATGGACATTCATCGTCATCCCCGAGCATATCATAATCGCTCATGCGCTTCGGCACCAGCCATTCGAGGACGAAGGAGAGCGCCGCCAGTCCAACACTGGTACAGAAGACTGCAAAGTATGCCACATGTTCACGGTGGATTTGTTGCGAAATGAGCGAGCGGAGCTTGACAGCGTAGGCGATGAGCAGGAGAAGCCAGTAGAAGAGCACGACACCGTTTGGATTGCGCGATCTCCAATGTTCGATGTATTGGATGTGGAAGACAACGATGAGGGAGAGAATGGTCAGGATGGTGGTCCAGAAGCGAAAGTCGCCTGCCCAGACGTGTTTGTAGTATTCGATCTGGAGGGCTGCCTGAGTAGCGGTTGTGCCAATGAGAGCTCCGATAGTCGTCTGTTTGGAACGATGAGTGTCAGCGCTTGTCCAAAAACATGACGTAGATGTTTACAAAAGGTGAAGCATACCAGTTTCGCGTAAAAGTGCCAGTTGCGCTTCACCGGTTGCGGTGAGCAATGCCTATACAGATACCATAACGCGCCCGCTCCTCCCAATACACCAAACACGGCTACGACAGCTATCCAGACATCTAGAAAACACGGTGTGAAGTCGTATCGGATCGGGCTGATTGGGCCCCAACCTTCGGGATTACCGCATAATGGCTGTCGGTCAAGCCTCGAGGCTGTCAGGTAGCCATGCGCAAGCCGTGCAGCGGGGAAAAAGGGCGTCTGTTGTTGTTGCACCTGCATCGATTGGGTCGTGTGAGTGTGCTGATTGCCTTACTCTGGTGTGGCAGAGTCGAGGCAGATCAAGACGTCCAAAGGCGGCGAGGATTCTGGGGTTGAAGGCAGACGCGGCGTAGGGCGCGAGCTGCACATTTGACGTAGAAGCTCGGACCAGCATACATGATATAATCACTCCCAGTTAGCCCCGCTAACGCCGCGGCCGCTTAAACACGAGCTGCTTCTGTTCTTCATTGGCTTTTGGACAACGCTTCTGCTTCATTCTACATGTATCTACACGGAAAAATCATGTGCCAAGTGCTGCAAGACTTTGGCTGCGTTTCCATGCCGTGCATCTCGGGCTTAACAAGACGTCAGCACTCGGATGCCTGGCAAGACTCACCGAACCCGTGGGCCGACTGCTGACGGAGCATCTATCGGGTTTCCGCATCCGCGTCCGCATCAACTCCACATCAGGTCACGTGCTCTACATTGGGATACAAGCATACGTGTGCCCATGCAGTATCACGTCATATCAAGACGGCAGTGCACGTTTATGCTGAATACGTCTCTAGGCACCACGAGTAATCGACATTCTAGAATATGTTAAGAGTGACGTTGACCCACCAACAGCCGTTCGTTGATAGATGTGGGATCTATCGCACCAATCACAAGCCTGCCAAATACAATCCTACCAAGACCAAAACTCACAGGAAGTGGAACGCCAACAATGCTTAGATCTCATTTCACTTCCTGTGTCTTTATCAGAAGCATTTTGAATTGGGCTACAACGCATCAGTGAATCATTTCTAAACATTGCTAAACATACACGCATCAAACTTCTACAAATACTATTCTAACATTTAGTATAAATTGGGTATCACACATAGAACCTCTTCACACCCTCCCTGCCCTCTCCCTCTTCGAATCCCGCTCCTCCATCTGCTTCACCAGCTCCCTAAACTTCTGCCTTACAGCCTGCGGCCCTTCGCCCCAAAACTTGCCATGCAACGCATGCACCCCGGCATCGACATCGCGCTGATTCGCGAAATTCGAACTCCACTTCCAATCCAGCTCACGCCACGGCATCGGTCCGTCTCTGCGGAAGACATAGTTGAGCATGTCCTGCTCCATATAGTGCGTGTCGAAGCGGCCCTCAATCTGCATCACGTTCATGAGATGGTCGTACATGTCTTGCTGCGGCGCCACCATGAAGAAGCCGCCATTGGCGTAGTTGGTTTGTACGGGGGGGACAAAGTGGTCGAAGCCGCCTTGGCCGCCGTTCTCGGAGCGGCCGGCAAAGAGCCATTGTTTCGGGAGTGGACCCTCGTCTTGCTTGATTTCCTCCTTGCGTGTGAAGAGTGTGGGGGTGAGTTGCGTGACGATGGGCTCGCGGAAGATTTCGTCCATACGGTGCATGATCATGTAGTCGGCGTCCATGTAGAGGACGCGCGAGTACTGCGTTTGCTCGAAGACGCGCAGCTTGGTGAATTGTTCGGACCATCGTGGCTCTACGGAGTGGATCCATGATGGCAATGTCACGTCTTCGAGCGGAACGACGGTTGCGCCGTCTTTGCGGAGGATCTCGCGTTTCGCTTCGGGCAGCTTGGTGCCGCAGAGGACGACAAAGCCAATGTCGGGGTTTTGGATGCGCGTCTCGGGTACCTGCAATAATTGATACGCAAGCAGACGGGTCAGATTGAAGTAGGTGTCGTCATTGGCTTGGCCGGTCAGGAAAGTCGCAATCGCGAGTGTCGGACTGCCATGCGGAGAAGTCGGTGAAGTCGTGGCGTCGTTCCATTCCGGTGCCTGAGATGAACTCGAGGAATCGCTTTCTTCCTTGCCAAGTGCTGTATCGCTGCTTCCAAACAGTGGCCAGTCTGCCGAAGTGATGTGCTGTGTCTTGCCACTATTGAACACTAGAAATGTTGCATAGAAGAGGCCGACGGCTATGCACACATAAGCAATCCATATCCTATCTTTGATCAGCATTGTTGCTCGAGTATCGTAGCAGCGAAAAGTTGAGGGTTATAATAGAAGATCGATTCGCGTCACTCGAAATCTGTTCCACGGGGCCATTCGTATTTCAGAGTAGTAAGCGTCAGCGCTGACCCACTTCCGTAGTCAGCCTTGAAGACGATACTCCTGCAAGACCCTAGACCTCTTTAAAGTTTCTTGGAAAATTACAAGCGAGTTTGATCATGCGTGAAACGGAGTGAAGAGAATAGTGTCTTTTTGCTAACGATTGCGTCGGCTCTGCTCTTCGGGTAGAATTACCATGGCCCTTTTGGGCTTCATGTGATATCATCGCTCTACCCCACTAAAATTCGTATCGTGTTTTCAAATGACTGGATGAAGATAAGGTTACGAAGGCGTTGATGTACATGTTTGGGTACGTTCATGGACATGGCTTGTTTCCGTACGACTCTGATCATCGTGCGTCGTCACTTGGGGTTAGTGCTTAGCAGTGGCGTCGCTGTCCACACCAAAACCTCAGTTGTAAGGTTGCCCACGCTTCTGAATCCGTGTTAATTGAGCCGCAGCGCAAAAACAAAACTTCTGCATTATCATGGCATTGGATTGACGGCACTTTGTCGAGAGCAGTTGCAACACTGTGGTACTCTCGCAATAATGGTCAAGAGGAACGGAGAAGGAGGTGATTGTCTCCAAATCTCAACACGGGCCAAATTCGGCGTCTTTCAATGCCGATTGTTCGTAAATTATACGGCCTGTTGGCTTCGAGAAAATCTTTAATATTGATGCTGCTATCATCAAATGTCTAATTTTAAGTATCGTATGCCTGAAATAGTATTTACACAAGACAAGCATCTCTAGATATCTGCACTTCCTAGGTTGCTGAATATTCCCTTCCGCATCGGCAGATTGGGTAGGAATGGTTCTTGGATTAAAGGCATCTAAATTACGCTTACAGGTGAATCTATTACTGGCAAAAGCTCAATGACATACATTGCTCCTAGACGACGCTTAATAAGTGTCTGGATAGTGGTACGGTTGAGTGCAGAGCGACCTCTGAAAATATCAGTTTAGCCCAAGCTTCAGATGGTTAGGAGATCCATCGTTGGTCCGGTTAGCTTCCCTCTCGAGGCTATTTATAGCCAGACTAGTAGAGCAAACAATACGGCTGGCTTCAGCTACTCAAGCGAGTATATAGCGCAATGCCAAGATGATGGCCTAGTGTTGACAACAATCATCGTTGTCTTTTTTGACCGGGCTTTGAGTGTGTCGCACTCACAGTCCCAACAGAGTCCTCTTCGATTACTTCAAGCTTTGTTGATTCGAATGTAGTCACCAGATCGTAAACATCCGTGCTTTTGACTGCCGGCAAAAAGGTCTTGTTGCCAACATCCTTTGGTGTAGTCTTGCTAGATGCAACCTTTTTCGGTGGTCTGGGTCTCTTTGAAGACCGGTCTTTACTGTTGTTGATGGAATCAAATCCAAAAAACAATGCTTTGGGTTGTGAATCAAGCACTGAATCGAATGAAGAATCAGGTATGGGTTTCGGTAATGAGGTCGAAGCTATGCTGCTGCTATCGCTGCTGAAGTGATATTTCGTTGGCAATGGTAATCCAAAAATTTCGCCACCTTTGGGATCCTTCTTGATCTCTGATCTGCGTACGACCTGTCCTGATTTCCGAATTTCATCCATGGATTTGCTGTTCAAAAGGCTGCTTGTGTTTTCTTGTGTTCTGGGTGCTAGATTAGGTGATTTTGCATTCCCGTTATGAGTTTTGGAAGAAGGTGCCTTTGCGATATCCGCTCTATTGGTGGTGTCTGATCCAGACAAGCCAGGCAAAGGGGGCTGGGAAATAACTTGGGGATTGTTCCGGGCGCTCCTGGAATTGATTTCTGGTTTTTTGATAGTAGGCGTGGGAGCCTCAAGGTCCAGAGAACTCTGGGCGTCCATACGTTCACTTTTGTAAACAATCTTAACAACTTGAGAGATGGCCATCTGCAGTCTTGGCTTCAAAAGGCGTGAGGACCATGTGTGCATATTCCTAATGATAGCACGCAATGATGCAACTCCCCACGTCAATTCAATCGACGTTGACCAGACACAAACCATGCGCTACTAAGTGTCAGCATTAGATAAGAACTCCGATGAGCCTCTCTGACCTGTATTGGGATTGCAAATTCTTTTGACTTATCCTGGTATGCGAGCCAAACCTTGACAACGGGACCGACGCATGTGAAGGCAATAACAGGAGGCGGCTGTAAAGAGCAGCCATCTGGAGCCTTGTTAAATAATTGTGCTTGGAGATCGAGAGCAGCAGAGGCGGCATTGGCTGCTCGGCGAAAGCATCTTTCTTCAGCAACGTCATCGGTATCTGGAACATCTTTCTCGACTTCCACAATGGCCCAAGGAAAACACAATCGAGAAGAGTTCTTCCATCTCCTCCCACTAACAAGTGCTGTTTCTTTCTTGAGCTTAGTTGTTGGAGCACACGCTATACCTTGCTCTACAAGTTTCATCAAAGATTGAAGTGAGAATGACTGAGCAAGTTCGTCTCGCGCAAATCCTTTCATGCTGCTTGTTGTTGAGATCTGAATTGGAAACCCGTAAGTTAAGTCCGGCTTAGGCTGTCCACGCTTGGGCGCCCAAAGACTTGATTTCACGAAGTTGTCAAAATTACTCCATGAGATATTTTCGGAGCTACGGCTGGATGTTAGCTCTTTCTGATAAAGAATGAAGGGGTGGCAAATTACATCAACCAGTCATCTAATGTGGAGCTTACTAGACGTCAGTTTATGGCAATTAAGTTGATATGTACATAAGATGAAGTACATCTGTGAGAAGGAGGAAATCGTACCTGAATCCAGATTGCTGAAGTGCCTCGTCACTGAATGGTATGAATATTTTACTTTTCCAAAACGCCATCCATTCCTCTACCGAGTCGCCCGCTATCTTTCGTGCACTCTCGGCAATGTTTTCGCAATCTTTGAGGTTTTCGAAAGACTTTGATTGGCCTTGAATGCGCTCGTGATGTTTGACATGAACAAAGGCATTTTCAGGGGGGCAAAGACACCAGCGTGGTCCGACATACACATCGCCATACGCAACATGCTCTTTCTCAAGTACCTTTTTGCAGTCATCCGGTAACATCTCTTCCATAAACAAAAGTCCCTCACGCACTGCATCGACGTGGTCTGGCAAATTGCGGGCGGCCTTTTGTGTGTCTGCATGATTGGCTTGGTGGACATTTGGTTTGTAGTAAATGTTGTGAAGTCTGAGATCCGCCCTGCTGAGATCTGCCCTGCTGGTATCTCTGCCCATGGTAAAATGTGAATATAAGAGTAGCGGTCGCGTGAGATGTATATGAGCGAACTGATGATTGTTTGCTTTTTTTCTGCCTTTGGTTTGAGGTACTGCAATCTCCGCTCCCAACGGCTAGTGTGCATTGTTCAGGGGCTAGGCATTGACCATGAGATCGCACGTGACTTGCCGCTGTGAACCGACGCCTATTGCGACGTCGGTGCGCACAGTATTTGGCCAGTAAGTGAAAAAGGTATGCATGATCCATATCAAACGGCCCTGTACTAAGCACAACAAGAGGTCGTACGTAGGAAAAGTATATTGCATCGCAATCGTTCTTTACACTCTCATGCTCTCTTGTGCAACACTGCTGCGATCGCGTACCGTGCACTTAGCTCGCCTCATGCTTACCAAGTTGTCACCCTCGAGCGATAAACCAAAGGTAGATTGTGAGACCGAGCGTTTGGTAGTACCTGTTATAGCCCCCCGCGAGTAGCTCGTTTAAGCGCCCCGTTTTGGAGTCGCGCACCTGAAATGGCATTTATTAGAACTCGCAAAATATTCATGAAGTCTCCTAAGGCTGGAAGAGATGATCTTGACGCCCTCTATTTGAAGACGTGGCCCATTGGCAGCCCCCTCCGTTGTCATACATACATACGACGAGAACCACAGCGACATACTCAGTGTAGAGGAGTAGGTTGCTTGGCGGTGAGGTATGTGATTGGCCCATACAGTATGTCGGAGGGTGACATGGTTGCTACACTCATGGGGCCAACATGTGCACGTAAAAGCTGACGGAGTCTGTCTTTCGTGTTTGCTCTGGAAATGTATCGAGCTGCGAGGGATTTCTTATTGTACTGGAAGGTCTGTCTTAGTTGTCGCTAGTTGTAGTTTCTTTATCAAAGATCTACTTTACGATTGCATCTCATGTTTTCGCTGGATACTGTGGTTTGATGGGCTGGCCATCTCACTAGTAATACATTGTGTGAATTATTCGTGCTCAAGCCTGCTTTACTAGGGTTTGTTCGGTTGCGCGTTTTGCGGCTGCGTTTTTAATACCTATTCCGGTATAATAATACGCAGCGCTTTGACAAAGGTTAACCGCACATGTCGTCACTCGTCTACCTCTCTACTTCCAAGCGACCACTTAGACACATGGAACCGCCAGAGCACCCTCTTGATTACAAGTATGAAGAAGCATACTATAGCCGGCCTAACATTATATCAGTCCACTCCAGCTTTTTGCGGATGAGATATCGCTGCCCGACAACTCAGTAGACAAGTTCCCGAACAAGATTGGCCCTAGAGTCATCTTCCTCCCTGACACGAAACAAGTCCTTAAGATCGGCTATGGCATCACAAGCTCAGAAGCAGAAGGGATGCGCCTTTTGGCTTCAAGAACGTCCGTGCCCGTCCCCAGAGTCGATCTTGTTAGCCAAAAAGGAGACTCTGGGTACATATTGATGTCGCAAATAGAGGGACAGCCCTTGGCAGAGGTATGGACATCTCTACCATCAGAGACCCGGGCTTCCATAATTCAAGACCTGCGATGCTACATCCACGAGTGGAGAGCTCTTCAAGAAGATTATTACGGTGCGCTGGGCCACCAAACCTGCCAAGATATCTTCTCCAAGCACTTTCCAATGCGTCAAGCGCCTAAGATCGATTATGGTCCGTATAGAACTCGGAGCGAGTATAACGCCGGGCTTAGGAGCGCCTTGCACATGTCAAGGCCGCCTAGGGTCTCCGACCAAAGAGATAAGGCTTTGCTAGACAACATTGAAGGCCTCAAAGACCCCACTATTGTTTTTACGCATGGTGACCTTCACCGTGATAATATTCTAATCAAGGATGGAAAAATTTCTGGCATTCTCGATTGGGGTTCGTCAGGGTACAGCATCAAGGAAAGGGAATATTACGAAGCACGGTCAAGAGCAAGAAATCAGGAATGGAAAGCAGCTCTTGATTTAGTATTCAGCGGGGAAACCGACATGGTCGCCTATTCAATTCTGGAGCAACTTGACAAGGAGCTTGTAGTATACAGCGGATCTTAACTGACTCGAGCACTATTTTTTTCCTTAAAGGAATCCGCTTCTACTATCTTCGATTAGCAACCCATCTACCTCCTAGAGATTGTGCAAGGCTTGTTACTGATTTCCCCACAAGTCCGCTGACACAGTCAGAAGTCCCTGGAAGAACCAATTCCTCGGCTTCAAGAGCAATGATACAGTTTACTGTCCAATCTTGACACCGGTCTCTACCGTTCCTTGGGGCCGGTTCTTTGCTGATGATGGAATGGACTTGCGCATATTGATTGGCGGAGAAAGTAGCGACCTGAAAACAGCCCTCGGAACTTGCACTGAGGATAGTTACGCCATCGCGCCGGTCGAGTTGGTACCATAGGCGGTCAAGGTCTATGAGCAACACCTGCAATAGATTGCCTCTGTCTGCCCCAGCACGGTGAAACACAAACGACCAATGGCAACGGTTGTTGGGATCGTCGCCTTCCCCGTGCACAACGACCGAGAGCGTGTATGTAGACATCCTTGTAACTATTAACATATACCTCAAAGATGGAGTTTTCAACTTACTCATCACATGAGAAACCTGGATTGGGTGATGGCCAAGGATGAGTTTGCGATGCTTGGGCAAAACGCAATGATTGACTGATCGATTTGGTGACAAACTCCAGGTACAGAAGAAAGGAAAGAGATTATGAGAAAGTAGACAATGCAGCTGAGATTTTTCAATTAGCCTGATATTTGTATTTACATATTTAGATGGAAACGGGTCTTTTCTATCTTACAGTTTTTCCAAGCGCTTCACATCCACATTCGCCTTAGTTCTACACTGAACAGATATACAACGTTCCGACTAAAAAATGGCGGTTCTCGACGGAACAGAATTGAATCAGAGTGACTGACTGATTCAGCTATGACGAAGCGTATCGCTTTACTACGCTGTGCGAGGCTTTTATAACTAGGGGACTGGGCTTGGCCGCTATTTGTGTGTCATGTTGCTGTGCCGTTTTACTCAAGTACCGAACTTTGAGGAGGGGCACGTGACCGATCAGGTTGCAGTGTGATGCAATATGCAGCTGTGTCATGTCGTTTATGTAGGGAGCTTGAGGCTAGATGTTGTAATTGGTTGGATGCGATTTAATATTGGTAGATTTGTGGAAATGCAAAGGGAAAACACGTTAGTACCAATCAACGCTTTGAAATCGTCGGCTGTAAGTGTGCTCTGCTCTTGGCCACCATGTTGAATACGTAGTATTAGACAGGGCGAGTGAAAATACACTTTAAATTCAAGGAAATCGTAGCTGGTTGCCAAACTAGATCCTTTTTCTATTCTTAATTCTTGTAGGATATCCAGCCTGAAAATTATTAAGACTGTTCATCTTTTCCTCCTCGCCATTCATGTTATTTCTCGCCTCATTGCCCGATTTACAAATGACGAGCTATGGAAACCAGCAAATCACGACGGCTATTTGAGTGCAAAACGTGCGCTGTCTCCCATACATAGATGGAAACATTCTAGAAGCCCAATTGTATACTCAAGATTCGTGACTATCTAATGTTTTGTATTGCACTGCTTGCGTTAAAGTAAATGTGGCTGGGCCTTGCATGCATACGGACCGATACGGGACAAGGCATTCGGTTGGGACGGGGTAGTAACGAGCTACGTAGTATTACGTTGGCGACTTTGTTGATCGGCCATAGCAGAATAGTTTATAGAGCGAAACAGTCAAGTGGATGAGTAACAACTAGTAGATCTTTTCTATGATCGCGGCTATTTACATGCCAAGAGCCAGTCATGTGACATTCTTTATCTCTCAATCTTGACGCTTGCACCTGGAATGTCTCCTCAAGCAGACACTTCACAATGGCCGCCCACAATCAATCATGGATTAACCTGGTGTTGGTATTTTGCTCAGTTATAGCAAGTGTCGTGGCAGAAACGTCGAAGATGAGATATATTATGTATCTTACCGGGTACATCGCTGCCACAGAGGTTTCGTGTCTCATTGTACGTAGCTAACTGTTTTCAGACAACACAATGTCGTCCCTGAGCCGCCTTTAGTTGAAAATATAACCGAAGTTGCTCTTGCTTTTATGCGATCCGATACTTTCAATAACCCCACGCAAAGCGAATGGCCGCTCTTCACTACGATAGATGAGGTCAGACCCAAGTTCGCCGAGGGAACCATCCTTCAAGTTGCCATTGGCGGATGGGGCGACACGGACGGCTTCTCAACCGCAGCAAAGACGGACGAAAGCCGTAAGCTCTTTGCAAAGAACGTTCGGGCCATGCTAGATGCGACGGGTGCAGATGGTACGAGAAGCCCAGCAATTGAAGAGAGAGCATTCGCTGACTATACGCAGGCATCGATGTGGACTGGGAGTACGCAGGCGGTAACGGCGAAGACTATAAGCAACCCGGCCACCTCAACAGCGACAAAGCCTGGGAAATCGATGCCTACCCCAAACTCCTCGCCGAGATCCGCGCTGCCGTTGGCCCCAGCAAGACCATCTCAGCAGCCGTCCCCGGCCTCCCACGTGACATGCTCGCTTTCACAGCGTCCACCATCCCCAGCATCATGGCCTCAGTCGACTACCTAAACATCATGACTTACGATTTGTTTAACCGCCGCGACAACGTGACCAAACACCATACTGGCCTGCAACTCTCCCTCGAAGCCATAGACGCGTATCTCTCTGCCGGCGTCCCGCCGGAAAAAGCAAATCTAGGTCTAGCTTTCTATATCAAGTGGTACAAAACAGCCGCAAACTCTACTTGCAGCACGTATCCGATTGGATGCGCGACGGAACTCATGGAAGACCCAGTCACAGGCGCCGATTTGGGCAAAGCTGGTGCGTTTTCCTGGCACGATGCAGTTCCTGAGGACCTATCTGCGTCGTTTAACCGTGCAATGCAAAAAGGTGTGTATGACGACGTAGGTGGTGGCCACTACTACTGGGATGCGGAGGAGAAGCTATTTTGGTCGTGGGATACGCCTG